AGCTTAAGAGTTGATGACCTGTTAAACTAATAATTTAAATTAACACCAAACTATAAATAGTAATAATTATAAAATAATAGAATAAAATATAATAATATTATAATAATAATAGCCTTTCACTTTTTTGTATTTGTTAACAGTTATAATTATACGCTTAGAGTTATAATTAGTTGCTGGCAAAGTTTCTTCACTCCCATATCTCATTACCCCTATGATGGTTTGATCCTATAACTCATCATCTTTGTTTTGTTTGTCAAAGAAAGTATAGTCACTTTCGTACTTGCATGAGATAACAACTCACCGTGCTTGTACATGAGATAACATCTCACCGACACTTCATTTGCTTTGTTGCCTTTGATTTATTTATCAATTTGTTATTTGAGCATTAAATTATGAACAATATAACATGATTTAAAAAATAATCAAGTTTGACTTTCAACTTTAAGAAAAGGAATAACAAACATAATCAATATAATTTATATACAAATATTGCTAGAATAACTTTTGTAATTAATTTCTAGTAACATGATGTTTTATGACTGCACAAAAATAACTAGATGTTTCATAACAATATATAATATTAATTAATTGTATTATAATTTTTTTTATTGTAAAAAAAATTGATTTAATTTTTTAAATGTATTATTTTTCTAATTTAGCTTGATGGTCGAACTTGGACCAAATTCAGCTAAAAAAATAGCATCCTAAAAAAATATAAATTACGTCAACCTAACTTAAAATAATATTTAACTTGTATTGTTTAGACTGATTAGGTCATTCTTACCCTTTTAACACCTTAAATTTAAACTCTATCAAAAGATCTAACTTAATTAGTTTAACATAGTGTTTAAGTATTATAAACCTCTGATACATATATTTAAACATATATTTAAACCACATGGGTTAATTAAAAAAGAAATTCACCCTCTTTTTACCCTTAACATTCAATCATCCATTTATTCCCTTATGTGGAATTGGATACCAAGAAGTCATTTAAACTTAAAAGTTTGTTCAAGTTTATTCAAAATTGAGCTCTTATCACAATAGTTGTTCATTTCATTTGACAGCATACAAATCAATAAGGTCTAATGCATAGTCTGGTTTGCCACTGTTTAGTCACTTTAATTAGCTGCATAGAAATAATGTCATTATATTATTTTTAAAAGTGAGAAACTTAGTCTTGAAATTAATAGTATTTGAATTGATCAAATTTAGATCATGGAGTTGGTTGCGTATTAGAATTAAAGACTTCTTCTTTTCACTTTATGAGTCGTCCATGAACCACATGATACGTTTGAAAGAAGTGTGTTGGTCTTAAGGTACATATGGTTGTAGACGTTTACTTTTGTTAGCATGTATGAATGATATGAAGTAAAATGTAGGGATATTTGGTAGGTTTGATCTGGTTGTAAGTTTGTAGGTTCTATTATTGATATATGTTGGTTTGATCAGCTTTGTTTCTAATTTATAAGTTTTTGTTTGTTTTTTAAAATGTTGGATACCCCTTGTAAAGCCCATGCCCATGCCCACCTCCTCCTCTCCCACCCTTCCACCAACACAGCCAAAACAAACAACCCCCTACTCCATAACTCCTAGTAGATTTTAAACAAGAAAAATCTAGGTGTCAAAATGATAGTCATGGTTTTCTATTTCATGTTTTTGAATTTTAAAATACATTCTACTTTGTTTCAAATATAAAACTATTTTTTCATTGGTTCTAATTTTAATCGATATAGAATGATGTTTTTAACTCAATTATTTAGAATGGATGTAAAATGGTTGTTTCAAATTAAAAGGGTAAAATAAGAAAATTAAAATTAAAAAAATATTGATATAAGAAAATATGTTTGTTTTAATATAATAAAGTGAACCACAAGATAGCTGGTAGACTCATTTTAATCTATCAATTCGTCTTCAACTCGATTTTTTATGGGTCAAAATAGAACGGGTCAAAACTAATTAATAAGAAAAAAATTTAACCCAGAATTTTAAAGCTTATTGATATATTGAAAATCTTCAATCCATCTGAATCACCCTGGGACAAAGAACCTTATAAGTACTGTGATAATTATAATCACAACTTAATAAAAATAATAATAATAATGACATTAATGATGTGACTCATTTGAGATGACATTTAAAATATGTATTATACTAATTAATAATAATGTGTGGCTTTTAATATTTTTTTTATTTTTTTTAATCTATTGCAAACTGTGGTATGGAAATCTAAAAAAAATAAAATAAAAAATTGTGGTTTTCTTTAAATTTTCAGTATTCTTAATTTTTATAATTTTTTCAAAAAAAAATAATAGGAATTTTACTTATACAGTACTTTTTCTACATCTTGTGAATTTAAAATTACCAACTAACAATATTGAAAAACAAAAGACTTGCAAAAGTTTGTATGAAATTATTTGAACTACATCCAAACAAAATCCTAGAACATTTACTTTAAAAAGTTGTTTTTGCGAATTCGTCAGCAAATAAACTTTTAGGGATTTAATTGCAGTCTTTCTCACGGCAATTTTTTTTAACTAATAGTAATATTTTAGAAAATTCAATACTTTACTATAAAAAGATATTAAGCTAAATAACATTTAATTTTCAATTCACGATTTTCGTTCTCGTTTTTATAATTATGCAATATATAATTTCGTTCTCTAATTTCGATTCAACTGTGAAATCTTCATGCATCGATTTATATCACATGCATGCAATAGCATGACGATAATACTGCTGAGTTAATTTCTAATATCTGCACGAACAATTTTTTAAAATTTAATTAACGGTCAGCATATATAAATTTGATGATTGAACTAAAGTTATCAATCTTTTTAAAATTGGAGAAGCAAAATTGCATATATTTTAAAATTGTAGACCGAAATTCCATATTTAAAGATAGGGAAATCACAATTACATTTTAAAAATTATATATGGAAATCAAAATTATAATTTAGCAAAAAAAAATACAAGAAAGTTTATTACGAGTTCTGAAATTCGTAACAAAAAAAATTATCTATGAAAGTTTTTCTTGAAAATCCACTGGGAAGTATGAACGTTTTTGTTAAAAATTTTCCATACTAATCCATTGAAAATTCCACAAGAAATGGGAAAATTTATTGTCATTGATAGACTCCCCCTTTTCTTAAATAATCATGAAAAACATAACAGTAGTCCTTTAACAGTGGATGCTAAAGTTATCCTCAAAGGGCATGAAGGCAAGATGATGCTTAACAACATATCAAAATTTCTTATCTACGAAGAAACGACATTGATCTCATCATCATCATCATCATCATGGTTGCATTTCATTCCCCATTCCCGACCCCATCTGAGTGCGACTCCGACCCACTTACAAAAAGAATATGTTGTTTTTCAGTCTACCACATTTTGGGGTCTTTGCACCGGAAAAAAAGCCCTCATCAAAGATAAAGCAAGGCAAAAATAGACAAAAGAAACACCTTAATTAATCAAGAGCCCTTAATTTTGAACTATTAATTATTGAAGCATTAAAGTTAAGAGGCAACTAGAAGATTTTGTCTAGCGACTTAAATCGATATTCATGATAAAGTTGGATAAACATAGCATTTCATGTATTCAAGTCGTAAGTGTTGGTGTTGTGCCCAAAAAGGATCTGACCACAACTTTAAACCTTGAATTGAATTTACTGGTTCTCACTATATAAAAAGGTAAAGCAATTAACGACTATCCCCAGTTATTTATTTATAATACAACACATTATATATGACAAATTTGCAAACTTTCTTTCCCCTTTCATGCTTTCTTTCTCAATTTACTTGTCTCATCTTTTCTTTAATTACTCCACTTGCCGCATCCTTTGCAAAATCGTGTTTTCAAAAAAAAAAAAAAAAATCTGTCATATTAATTAGTGGGTGACTCGATGGGTGTGTTTCATTAGCAGACGCAAAACGATAAGAGTGATTATTCATATATATCTGAACGCAGTGCATATTTTTATTAATTTAACTATTATTTTTAAAATGAATCTTCAATTTTAAAAATTAACATTTAATAAAATATCAATAACTGATATCATAAAATTATTAAAAGTGACGAGTTTGCTTCAAAAAGATTATTTTATCCTTTAGTTTTATATTTTCTCTTATTTAATTCATTTTTTTATCTTGCAAACAATTGGATACAAAAAATGCAAAAGGATAAAAGAAATCATTTTCAGGAAATTAAACTTCAAAGTCTTTGGCCAACATTATTCAATGATTGAAAGATCTCCATTTTGTGGCATGCATTTGAAACTATAAATGCATTTTCATTTTGCCTGCCAGCCTATTAAATGAGTGAATGAATTATTTTACGTTCTTTCCATTTTTTTCTCATCTAGTACTCCCCAGTCATCCATAATTGTAGGGAATAGATGCACTTTTTCTCTTTGGTGTTAGCTAGTCTCCTTTACGGTGCACGGTTCGTTTTAGTTAACTTTATTACTTATTTCTGAATACTTTTGTTTTTCTAAACCTTGTATATGAATTAATAAATTGGAGTAGTACTCTTTATATTTTTTAAGCATAAAAAATCACATATGGTGGGATTAGAATAATATATCTGAATATCAGTATGACCATTTTACACCAGATAAAAATATTACATATACAGATGAATTGAAATCGTAGGGCTCTTGAAATAATTAGGTTTCAATTATAAGATCTACTCGAACGTGTGAAGTCCATAATTTTATTTTATTACATTTTGGTTGTTTTAGTATTTATTAAATAATGCTTTGGAGTATGTCAATCTGTCAGGTCGATGTTTATGCTTAAAATCTTTTGTTTGATTATGTAAGCTGATTCCACCATCAACCCATGAATAGACAGCGATTAGCAATGTTGCCACACACGCATATGTATAGTATAATCATAACTTTCTTTTTAAAATTTCCCTTCCATGCATGGTAGCCACTATCAACTTTTGATGCACAAATTTATAGACCAAACCAATAAAAAAAAGAAGCTTATAGGTTAAGAAACTTCGTCCACTCAAAACCCTAAAAATAAATAAAACAAAAAGATATGAGAATGAGGGAATAAGCGCAAAGTAAAGAAATTAAAGACTCTTCATGCTTGCTTTCCTCCACCCTCCTCCTCTTTAATGCTTTTTTCCCCTTTCTTTCTCCTCTCTGGTATTCCCTTGGCGTGATTCTCCACCATCTCCCTAAAGAGCCATCAAACTTTATAAAAGAAAAACATAAAAGCATTCGAACACCATGGTTTTCTCCTCTATTCCAGTCTTTGTAGATCCTCCCAATTGGCAGCAGGTAAGGTTTTCCTCCAATTTCAGCCACAACTTTTGAACCCTAAAAAGAAAGTGAAAAAAATTATTGCAAAAGATAATTATTCCTATTCCTTGTAATATCTCTCTGAATATACCAGATTATGTTTTCATCATATAATTATTTTTTGTTTTTCACCCTTGATCTGTTCTGCAGCAACCAAACAATCCTCAAGCAAATGGCAGTGATAACTCTCAGCTTCTTCCACCTTTGCCTCCACAGCAACCTCATGTGGGAGGTTTTGTGGGTTCAATTAGGCCAGGATCTATGACTATGGCAGATCGAGCTAGGTTAGCTAAGATACCACCTCCTGAAGCAGCTCTTAAGTGTCCACGTTGTGAATCCACCAACACCAAATTTTGCTATTTCAATAACTATAGCCTCTCTCAACCACGCCACTTCTGCAAGACTTGTAGGCGCTATTGGACAAGAGAGGGTGCTCTAAGAAACGTTCCTGTGGGTGGAGGGTGCCGCAAGAACAAGAAGAACAAAAGGAGTCACTCTAATAAATCTCCTGCATCATCAGAGAAACAAACACTTTCCGGTTCCAGTCACGAGCTAATAGGCCAGTTGCCTCAATCTCCTAGCCTTCCCTTCATGGCTTCCCTTCACAACCTGAACCGTTATGCTGTTGGAAACATGGGTCTAGGGATGCCTGACATTCATGGACAGAACGATCACACGGGGTTTCAAATTGGTGATGGTGCTGGTAATTCTTCAACTGCTGGTGGAGGAATCAATCAGTGGCGCTTGCAGCAGGTTCCTTTCTTCAACGGTTTTGAATCAACTTCGGTTGCTTCATACCCATTTCAAAATGAAAGTATTGAAGCAGTTTCTGGTTTGGTTGGAGATATGGCTACGAATTCTAGGGTTTCTCAGATGCCATCAGTTAAAATGGAAGAAACTGGAGCTATGAATTTGTCAAGAACACCACTGACTGCCTCAGAAAATAACCAATACTATTCATGGACTGATATTTCAGGTCTTGCCTCTTCTTCCGCTCGTCATGTCTTGTAACTTTGACCATGTAACATGCATATGGTCAACATTAGTAACCCCGTTACCTCAATTGAACTTCTTTGCTTGAATTGTTACTTCCTTTCAGTCTCACCACCGTCCTAGATGGATCAGAGAAATTCGATCTCAAACGATTTGGTTGTTCCACTGAATACCTTATCTTGACTTCCAAGTTCCACTATCATCATCGTTTGACAGAAATTAACGTAGATACAAAGAGTCTGTTTGGATTCAAGTTAAAAGTGTGTTTGAGAGTTTTTTTATTACAAAAAAAAAAAAACTATTTATTTTTAATAAAAAAAATTCTCAAAAATACTTATAAGCTTCTATCCAAACTTGCTCATAGTAGAATTGATATCTTCTTATTGTAATTTCAATTCCAGTCATTGATTTGTGTTTACGTTTTTTTTGTTTTTTTTTGTTTTATTCAGTGAGTATTTTATGTACTATATATGGGCTTGCTTTAATTGTATAACTGTGTGTGCATGTAATGTTTTGTGTGTCTGCTATCTGACGTTGTGATCTCATTTCGGTACAAAACTTTAGTTTACTTAACACCTACTATCAGCTACATCACCCTAGTTAGCTACTATCGCACTAGATTTTGCCCATATTCAATTATCAGATTATGCTTATACCATCTAACACAAATACCTTGGAATACAAATAAAAGTTTCACATAATTGAATTATGAGAAGAAAAAAAATTTATAAAACATAATTTTTATTGATAAAAAAACTTTTGTAAGATAATCAAAAATAAAATTATAAAAATTTAAACTAATATAGACATATGTATAAATTGCGGTGTCTAACAAGATATCATAAAAGAAGAAAAGTGATGTTATTGTTTACGTACTTAAGAATGTGCTACTCCACGTTAGCTTTAGCCGAGGTTGTATTTCTCGGAACAAGTTTGTTTAAATTTCATGCTCGAGCTAGCACTTTATTTTCTTGGCAAACTTTATACAATTTTTTTTTCTCAATTTGTGAAACATTCTTGATGCAAAGCATAGTAGCATGCATATATATCCCATGCTGCATTCTATTGCTTTTTGTGATACGAATGTTTGTCATGCATCTTGGAATGGACATAATAGCAATAGCATACACAAGTTGTATAATTCAAGGTAAAGACCTAAGCGTCTGACACCATATGCAGACGATTTATTGTAAGTAAGTCTTTCCACTTTACTCATAGTTTTTTTATTTTCCTTTTCTTTTCTCTTTAGTCACTTTGAGTACTTTAGCCAGCCTTTGCCGGTGCCCAGAAGCTGGAGTTAAGTACTACTCACCTTCACTCTTAATAATGAGAAGTTCTTGGAAACTTGAGTGCGACAGTTATTTAATGTCCTAGAGCTACTCTTTACTTTTCCTCAATCGTGGTAAATTTTGTTTCCGACAAAGCTCTAGCTTCATATCGTACTTTTAGCATAATAGAATTGGGTAGTTTTTGTTCATTAAGATACTTGCTGTGCTAATAATTAACATGATCATACATGCCATGTGAGAGAAAGATACAAAATAATTACAATATAACTTTTCATGCTTTATTTATGTAGGTTTCATTAATTTAATTTTGTCTTTCTTTCTTTAATTATCATGATATTGTTATGTTAATTACTGACGTGAAAGTATTTAAAAAAATCACATACAATTTCTATAACAAGGATAGAAATCATATCTATTTCTGTCTTCAGATTAAAACGTGACACTCTTAATTTTCTTTCTCTCATGTCAATTTTAAATTACCAGACAAGAAAAGTACATAAGAAATGAACTCAGTAGTAATTTGGTTACATATAATTAACAAAGAAGAACGTGTGTGAAGTGTAGGGGAAAGGCGGAGAGGGAGAGATTGTGAAGAATTTTTATATACATTAGATTAGACATATCAGTCAAGGGTCAAACATAAGATATTGTAATTATCATATAAGATTCATAAGACGAGACGTGCGTGTTTGTCGATTTGAAGTTGAAAGTGGAAGACAAATGCCCAAATGTAACCATTGTAAGAAGACGCCAAAATCTCACTCAAAATCATGCAATTCTATATTCGTCCAAACTGAGCTTGGTGACTGTTCTAGAACTTCTTCAGCAGAATGATGCAAGATACAAACATTGATTGTTAATTATGAAATTCCTTTTGTGGCATGTTAATTACGCACTTGAATACGAAAGGAAAAGAAAAGAGATTCTACGGTCAAAATAAGTGTGACCTTTTTCTGCATGTTGGGGTCATTTCTCATCATATTATCCCTCTCTCAATATATATGCCTCTAATTTGGAGTGATCGATGGTGCCATTCGAAGATGAACAAACACAGTCAACAAAGATCTTCCACGCTAATAATTACAAACTTTATTATTCTAAAAAATCCCACCAGGAATTAATGAATTATCTAATAAAAAGAGGTACTATCATTGAGGTGATGATAACTTTTGTAAGAACCAATGCTACCTTTCAAGAACAAAAAAAAAAAAGCAACAAAAGACTAACACAGACAAAAGCTCTCTCCGTGTCTTTGGACGTAGGCAGTAAAAGGTCACCCCAGATTCCAAAAATGTCGGTGTGTGTTGGTCTCAAAGAAGAAGCATTGCGAGAGTTAAAGGAAAAGAAGTAAGGAGCAGTGTGGGTTAAATTGCGGAGTTTCTCTGCTATGGTGCGAATGATGGCTCAGAAATTCATGCATGCTTCATGGAATGGTCTTTGAACAATGTTTACAAACTTTCAATATTCATCCTTTCTAAACATGTGTTATATATATATATATATGGGCGGTATTGCATTATGTTAAAAAGTCTTTGCATTATTTAGATATCAAAATAAAGATAATTTATAAACACTTTTTTTTTCTTAATTCAAAGAAATATAGCTTAGATCATAAGGATATCAGTTAACTTAAATCGGAATATGTGACAAACCTCAAATTAAAAAGTTCCTAATACATGCTTCCTTTGTCTTACTTTATTTTCCCATCTTCATTATTACCTTCTATCATTTGCATCTTATTATTCTTTTTCTCCTTCACCTTCTTCTCTTTCCATGTTTCTTTCCCTTCTTTTTTCTTTTTACAGATGCGTGGGGACCTCTCCACCCTTCAATGCCAGAGACCGTTACCAACTTTTGTTAGAAAAGAAAAAGAAGAAAAAAAATCACCTTCTTAGTGAGAGTGAATTTAAAACTGAAACGAAAGTATACACTATGTCACGATCAATCTTGCAAACTTACCTAAATACCATTTATAGTACGTATGTATGTCATACTTAAAAATATCTTGATGCATGCATTATTGAAATGTCGGCGTGAGAGGGAGCAATGGAAGTAAATGTTAGAATAAATTATTTGTAATAGCTTTCGGGTAGAATATATATATGCTAGAAACACTATTGTTGATTCGAAAATTACTTTTGTAGGGGTGAAATTTGTTTGTGAACATTGTTAACCAAAACTGTTTTTGAGCATGGAATTACTAAAATAACATCGAAAATAATGACATGTGATATGAATGAAATATCGGAGAGCATCAAATTTAAATCTTGAAGACGAATCCCTCAAAAACCGAAAGGTGCACCAAATTAATCTCAGAGAAAAACGACACGAATTGGCAAAGTAGGAAAAAATCTAACTAGATTTTTTGCTAGAAATCGCCAAAATAAAGCGTGACATCTTTTAGATCAATTAGAGAAATTGTATGCGAGTGAAATATCTATTAAAGCACTAAGTAAATCTAATTAAGGGCGTAAATTGTGGAACCAGCCAGAACTAAGTATACATATTTTTTTTCATTAACATAATTCACGTCGCGTTCTAAAATTAACAATTAAGAATTAAAGTATATATGATACCGTAAAAACACTCACATTTGATTATATAGGAACGTTTAATTTTAATACAACTGAATGTTTCTATACAAACTAGAGATCTTTACAAAAAATAATAATAATAATAATAATAATAATAATAATAATAATAATAATAATAATAATACAAACTAGAGATCGTTAAAAATGTTAGGATTATATGGAAAATATGGTTTGATTTGGCCTTGAAAAAGATTCTTAGAAAATTAATTAAAGGTTTTTTATTTAAATAACTGTTGTGACATTATGTGTCAATTTCTTGTTATGAGAGGTCATTCATTTAACGTTTTTATTTTCTTAAAATAAAATGATGAAGCAATTATGTTTGATAGGTAAATGACATTTTAGCTAGCTAATATGTAAACGCGCGCAGATCCTAATCTTGTGTCAAGTATGCCAAAGTAATTAATGTATAGAAATATTTTTTTTCTTCTATATTTTATATTTCTTCCAACAAAGTAATGAATCGAAACTGATTATAAATAATGATTTGTTTTATCTTTTGTTGACATTTAAGCCTTAAATTTTGAAGAAGACGTATGAAAGATAAGAAGCAAATTAAGAAAGCTTATGAAAGAAAAACAAAATTAATTAAAGTCATCATTGAAAAGAATAACATTAAGAAGAAAAAAAGTTTTACACCATGACATTAAGATTAGCCCATGGTTGTTGGTACACTGCGACTATATATATATATATAATAAAAAATGAAATAAAAATAAAACATTTTCAAAGGTTATGTTATGAAGTAATTAAGTTAACTATGGAGAGATCTATATTACCAAATTATAGAGATAAAAGGTAACAGTTGTTAGAAAAGATTAAGCATTAATACGGAGTTAACTATGAACAATTGTCCTGGTTGGTCATATTGAGACAACTTTTCAACTTATTTTTTTAGTGACAACAAATGTGAAAGATGTTCACTTGAAGAATCAATTAGAGAAGATATCGTACAACTTAAAAGCAAATACCAGTAATAGGGTACAGTCATTTTCGCATGCATCCAAGATTAATATTTGATAGCAGTCATATTTATCATATTTATCCTTATATATATGAATAATCATATATCTAATAATATGATAATCCAAATTTATTCGATTAAGACTTTCAAGAAGGTCATATCTTATAAAATTGATATGATTAACATAAGGTATGTCCTATTATATAATTGGGATTAAAGCAAATGAATGACAATATTTTTATTTCACAAAAAGAATGTTTAAAGAAAGTGATAAAGAATTCAAATTGTAATCTTTTGAACACACATATGGAAAGATTGGATGTATTTGTCAAAACAAGACGATGGAGAAAAGAAAGATGTTACACTTTTCAAGAGTCATGCATGTGGAAGCCTGACTGATATTTTGTATGCAAGCGAGTTGTTTTATGGATTCATATTTCCACTCACATCAAAACTACCATAAGGATTATTCATCAACTAAAAGGTATAATTAACTTAATTTGTGTTATTATGTTCTTCTAGTCAATTCAAAATATATTATTGTAGAATTTTGTGATATTTATTTTGCAAGAAATATTTATGATAGAAAAAAAAAATAGTGATTATGTATTTTACGGGTGTGTATACTTTTATACGGGATTTTAAGAAATGAACTATTGGTA